TTTTGTTATTCTGGCAAAGGAAATGACGAATTCTTGCCATAGCTTCAGCCTCCCTCACAAAGTTGAATTCATAGCTAATCTTGAATGAACAAGTTAAAACCAGATTACTTCAAAGACGCAAGTCGGGAAAAAAAATAATCTACTAGATTCACTTAACCAAGTAATATAATTCAGGTGAGAGGAAGTCAACTAGCTGCATGCAAATACCAACATATCAGTTGGTGCATATTCACTGATTTTTAAGTATTTAGAGTCTTGTAGACAAACAATAGTGCCACATCAAACATCTAGAGAGGTCAAGCACCACATAGAAAGCCAAACCAACACATAAAAGATTGTACCCGACAATCTCCTAATTAATACCATTTTGCACAAAGTAAAACACAAGGACAGTATTTCATGGGGGAAGGAAACAACAGTGGCAGCCCTACTATAAATTAGAAACTGCTACCAAGGGTAGTATTTCACACTACCATCCCCAGACCCCACTAGTGGGATCTTGCGGGGTCGTCGTTGTTGTTGTTGTACCAAGAGAAATGCAAAATGTGTAGGTGAGCAAAAGTAACAACAAGGGTTTAGGAATTCTATCACACAAAAAAAAGGTGGGTTTGGGTTTGGAAATCACTCAAGATATACAGTCTAGTTCAAAATTCATTTTAATAACATTAAACATTAGCTAATTTAGCTTACGGAGGAAAAACAACTAGTCTTATGTAGTACAACTTCTATGTTTTCATTCGTCTGCAATGATAACCTACTGAGCATTGACATAAATTGAATCGGATAATGAACATTTTCTTATAAGTTGCACTAACAAACATTTTCCTGGTGAGCATGAACATATTAATCTTGTAGGCACTTATGATAGACCGACTTTGGGTATGCTCAAAAGACTGAACGAAAATGAGCATGAACGTGTTAAGATGTACTAGGTCAACATGTGATAATCAAATTAGATGAACAGGCTTTCTAAATCTTTTGCTTTAAGCAGTTGAGACATGGCATAACATCCTCTGGAAGAACTTTAGTTATAGCAGTACAGAATATCGCCCATAACACAACAACAGACTTGTAAGGTCCTATAATCATAGGAAGGATCTAGGATTAATCCCAGTTTCAAATTCCATCCTTTTCATGAACTGGATCAATTACAATTAGGTCCTCCACTAGGAGAACCTCAGCATATAGTAAAAATTAAAGCAACAAAATATCATGGACAAGGATAGGAGAAGAAAAGAAAATGAAAAGTCTAATAGTACAAGACACATTGCAAATTCGTGAACGTTTTGCACCTGTTTCTCCATTTCCTTGGTAACGGAGAACAGATCAAACTTGACATCCGTCTTCTGAATATATAACGCAAAGGCTTGCAAGTTGCGGATATCAGTCATCATCAATTCCTGAACCCCAGGATGTTGGACCTACAGTTGTATGACAATTAGAACCTCACAATAATATGAAAGATGACACTCAAGTTCTTACCTTGACGACAACATCATTCTTGTCACCTTTGAGTCTTGCTCGATGAACCTGAAAAAATCATACATAAAGTTAACTTTTGCAGCATGTCTTAAACCAAGAAACGACAAGATAATGTTTTAGATTTGAACATGAATTAAATTCTATGATTAAATATCTATAAACTTCCTTACTGATGGTTTGAGCTTAAAGAAATAAAGACTACTCAAATGGATCGCTTAAGCACTTAACCAGCTTTCCTATCTTACATCCCGTGATTCCAATTTTTTCTAGCAAAGAAATGTGTTTTTGAACATTCTATAATTTAGCAAGAACGAGAAAGAGAGCAGAAAAGTAGATACCTGAGCAATAGAGGCAGAGCCCAGTGGATCCTTGTCAAAATAATCGAACAACTCATCAATACTTTGACCCAACTCCTTCTCGAGCACTACCCTAACCACATTGTATGGTGTAGCTGGTGCTTGATCACATAGAGTAACAAGCCTTTTGACCCATGCAGCTGGCGCCAAATCTGGCTTCCCAACTATTTGGGCAACCTGACATCATTAAGCATAAAAAGACTGAATATTTAACAGGTATTACAATATAACATAAATTATAAAAATAACTGAAACAAACAATTAAAAACAACGCACTGTGATAACATAGTAACTCATAATATCATATTAATGTGCAACTTCTGAAGCATAACCAATGACAATCACGCGATTTCCTCAACAAGGTAGGGAGCGGCCCGAGATTAATACTTCTCAATCATAAAGATTTTACTAATAGTTTGATGAAAAAGAGGAGAACCCAAATTTAGATCACATGGTGACTGTTCAAGATTTAGAAAATTGAAGCAAATAACAATGAATCCAAACCCCTTATAAATAAAGAAATTGGATTTTTCGTTTAATAGTTTAAATTCTATGCATTAACGGCATAAAAAATATTTACACGATCAAGTAACTTTATTTAATAAGCATTGATTAGTAACCTAGAATGAACGGTAAATAACCTGCTATAACAGGTTCCATTACATTGATAGTGTAAAAATTCACTGCACTGTTGTTGTATAACTTAAATCCTTGTATTAATAGAAGAAGTACCTTGAGGAAAAACCCACCAAGGTCAGAACACATGTTATATATCTTGTCAGCAGCAACCTCGTGCTGCTTCTCCCACATTACCTCCTGTTTCTGCACATCCTTCTCTAAACTTGCTCTTACCTGAAATACCTACGCAAACCCAAGAAAGACCTCAACTTTAATATAATTGGTCTATTTAGGAACAAAAGAGCTATGCATACACCAATACAGGGTGAAAGAGACAAAAGGGGGTTACTTTATAACCAGTATAAATATCAGCAGCCCGAACCCAGAACTGGAAAGACCGTTGCAAAGGCCGGAGTTGAGTAGACACCTTTTCTTGAAATTCTTTTAGATCAAAATGGAAAAGCATGGCGATTGTGGAACAAAAGGATTTATCTTTGATCACTGATTAGTAATTGCAAATGGGTGTTTGAAAAGAGGAATTTTTGGGCATTCTTTTGTTTGCTCAAGAGGTCTCAATTACTTGCATGGCTTAGCTTGGAGTTTAACATTAATCGAAATGGATATTTTGAAAAATGGGATTGATAAGAAAGGCGAGCAGTTATATGTAGACTGTAGGCGACTGGTAAAATTGGAAAGAATTTGTAAAGAGAGTTTTAACGCCGCAGAATTCGAGAATGGGTCTACGGAAGCCACACATATTGTACAATGGCTCCATCTTTCTGGTCAAGACAAAATCCGTACAATATTTGAGCATATATATTTGTGCAACCTTTTAAAATATACCATATTTTTAAAAATTATTAATTTGATAGCCAGTTGACAAAAAATCTGTAATAATATGATAATTATACCCCTAAGAAAAGATATAAGACATGCATCACGCATTAATCACGTGATCTGCAACCTCATTCTTGAAAATTTTCACATTAAAGCTAAAATTTCATATTAATGCATGCTGAAGTTTTGTCCTGCTGTAGAAGTCTACAGTTTGTCACGAATTTTATCTGAAACTTCAGTTTAAACATGCTGAAGTTTTTTAGTTCATTTGCTAAAATTTTAGACTAAACATGCTTAAGTTTTT